TCGACAGAGAGAGAGAGAGAGAGAGAGAGAGAGAGAGAGAGAGAGAGAGAGAGAGAGAGCCGTCAACGTGTACCCAGTGCTATATATTGGTTGGATTAATGGCAAAGCTTTCGGTAATATAGTTTAATTCAATGTACAGATTGTTAAACCGAACCATTTAATGAATTTTAGATACCAGAATTACTTTTGCACACACGTAAACTACCACACACACACACACACACACACACACACACACACACTTACACAGGAAGAGTTAGACAGACAGATAGACAGACTGAGATAAGCAGATAGATAGGTAATACCAATTAATATCAGGTAATCCCAGGTAACACAACTCAATCCTAGGTACACCATCACTTAACACCAGGTACACCAAACACCAGGTACCATGGCGGAGAATGAAGACCTCTCCAACAGCCTCCAAATCCATCACTCTCCTGACGACTGAGACTCCAAACCAGATTCTTACACTTCAAAATGCAAAATGACTCTGATGGCTATTAAATCATTTTTCACTAAGTTCAAAGCTGATTGGCTCAGAGGGGGAGGCGGGGGGGAGGCGGGGGAAGGGAAGCGGGGGAGGGGAGAGGAGGTGACGGAGGGGAAGGGGAGGGGACGAGTCAACAGTGCAAAGAATTTCTCCACCAATTGGCTTAGAGAGAAGCCCGTTGAGTATGTGATTCTTAAAGGTGATTGGTTCAACAAGAGAAAATCGCAGCTTTCCTTGTTACATTTATTCCCTATAGCGAAAACCTCTCTCTCTCTCTCTCTATCTATTTATCTATTTGACTTGCATACGAGGCGTAGAGGAGGAGGAGGGGGAAGAGGATGGAGAGGAGAAGAGGAGGAGGGGGAAGAGGATGGAGAGGAGAAGAGGAGGAGGGGGAAGAAAGCAGAGGGGGAGTGGAGACCAAGAGACAGTCAACCTCCACTCAAAAAAAAACCCAGTCAAATGAAAAGTGTTGCCACCACCAGGTCCTCAAATATTTTCTGTCTATATTTTGGTGTCGGAAGAAAACGTAGTGTAGGCACCCCGAGACAGACAGACAGACAGACAAGCAGATGACAGACAGACAGAGAAAGATATAGATAGATAGATAGGTAGAGAAATGAATTAAAGAAAGGGGGGAGAATGCAGAAAGGGGGAAGGACGATAATGGTGGATTTGGGGAGAGAGATAGGGAAGAGAGAGAGAGAGAGAGAGAGAGAGAGAGAGAGAGAGAGAGAGAGAGAGAGAGAGAGACGATATAGAAAAGGGAAAAGAAGAGATAATGGTTGAAGAGATAGAGAAGGAGTGAAGGAGACAGAAAGGAGAGAACAGGAGATAAATAGACAGACAAGGAGAAGGAGACAGATTAGAAATAAAAATGAAAAAAAACAGATAACGAGAGGAAGGAGAAGAAGATAATTAGAGGAAACGAGGAAGAAGATAAATAGATAAATATAGATAACAGAAGGAGATAGAGAGAAGGAGAATAACATAAAGAGGAAGGACAGACCGAAGGAGAAATTATATATGGCTCTCCCTCTTCCTCCTTACTTCCCTTCCCTCCTCCTCCTCCTCCTCCTCCCTCCTCCTCCTCCAAACCTCCCCATCCATCAGACTTTTGACCTGGCTTGGCAATCGATCAGCCCAACTGGACCTCTCACCTACTGGGCTACTACACTTACCATTGTACCTCACCTGACCAGACACCCCACCCCACTCACCCAGTATACACACTCAATACTGTACTGTACTACACACACACACACACACACACACACACACACACACACACCACACACACACACACACACACACACACACACACACACACACACACACACACACACACACACACACACACACACACACACACAGCGCCATAAACACCATTACCCTCAAGCACTAAGTTTGCCAGCACCGCCACTGTTGCCACACGAAGGACAGACACGTCACCAAGTCCACAACGTCGCGACCACGTCCTCCTCCTCTCTGGCCTTCGTCGGTGTCATCGGCGGTACCAGGGCACGTCTTGGCACTCAGTCTGAGGCGAGGAGGAGCAGTAATCCAAATTGGGATTTATCTAAACCAGGAGGTCACCTATAACAGGGCTGGCTGGCTGGCTGGCTGGCTGGCTGGCTGGCTGGCTGGTTGGACAGGGAGCGGAGGTGGTCTGCCAAGGTCCATATATCGCGGGTCACTATTCTTATGTATACTTCAGTCCTTGAGGGGGAGGTGGTCTTCTGCCGGTGTATGCCTTGAGGATGATCTACAACCTCTGCCCTCACCACTATCTTACAAGTCAGTGAGTCAGGTTAGGTTAGTCAAGTAGTTAGGTTATATGCAGGTCACTTAACAGCAGAACTGTTATTGATACCACGAGATTATGTGACACATCTTATTTCAACCATAAAATGAGGTAATATAATTCTCTCTCCATTGTCTGCCTGCCTTATCTCTCTCTCTCTCTGTTTCTATCTACCTCCTAACCTCTGGCACCCTTCTCTCCCCCTCTTCCTTTACCCCTCCACCTCTCACTACCCCAGGGAGAAGCAACATAAAGATCTAAGCTTTACTGTTCAATTTTACGGTCAAACACACTCACGTTTAAAGAGTAAGAACTCCATAAAATTGACCTCTGACCTCACAAGGGTAGCACTGAGTCTTGTTAATTGACCTCTGACCTCACAAGGGTGGCACTGGGTCTTGTTTATTTACCTCTGACCTCACAAGGGTGGCACTGAGTCTTGTTAATTTACCTCTGACCTCACAAGGTGGCACTGAGTCTGTTTATTTACTCTGACCCCTGCTGGGCAAGTGGCAATTGGGGTCTTGTTAATTGGACCTCTGACCTCACAAGGGTGGCACTGAGTCTTACACTATCTCTGACCTCACAAGGGTGGTACCGAGTCTTGTTAATTTACCTCTGACCTCACAAGGGTGGCACTGAGTCTGTTTATTTTTACCTCTGACTCACAAGGTGGCACTGGTCTTGTTAATTGGATCTCTTATTCTCACAAGGGTGTACCTGGAGTCTTGTTAAATGACTCCTGACCTCACAAGGGTGGCACTGAGTCTTGTTTATTTACTCTCTGACCTCTCACAAGGGTGGTGGCACTGGAACTGTTATTCGACCTCTGACTCCTGCCAAAGGCAAGGGTAACTGAATCTTGTTAATTGACCTCTGACCTCACAAGGGTGGCACTGAGTCTTGTTAATTGACCTCTGACCTCACTAGGGTGGCACTGGGTCTGGGGGATAAGCAGCTACTCCCACAACACAACTTAACAACAAAACACAACACAACACAACACAACACAATACAACACAACACCCCCAGATATCCTTCTTCTTATTTGACAGGAAATAACTCAAAGAGCTTACAGTGGCTTAAGGGAGGAGAAAATGACACTCTTAAATCTCTCTCTCTCTTCTTTCAGGTGTGTGTGTAGCGATCTCCTTAATCCTGACTATAGCTGCATCTATTCCCTTAACTGCTGAGATAAGCCTTAATTCCCCTCAGACTGCCACACTTATTGTTTCATTCATCACACACACACACACACACACACACACACACACACACACACACACACACACACACACACACACACACACACACACACACACACACACACACACACACACTACCCCGTTAGCCTGTTGCTTGATGTGGGAGTCGAGTAATGATTTAATAATGATTTTGACATACATACACACACACATACATACATACATACATACATACATACATACATACATACATACACACATACATACATACATACATACATACATACATACATACATACATACATACATACATACATACATACATACATACATAAGCATACATACATACATACATACACATACATACATACATACATACATATATATACACACACACACATACATACATACATACATACATACACATACATACATACATATATACACATACATACATACATACATATACATACATACATACATACATACATTCTGTCACATTAAATCCGTATTAATATTTCTTTTAGGATGTGAAACATAAACATAATTATAACGAATATTTACAGCATTATACAACCCCCCCCAGGAGCACAGGTAATGATGATTGACAGGTGATGGTGAGGATGTACCTACCATCTCTCCCCACTACCCCTCCCCTACCCCCGTCATACACCTCCCCCCCTCCCCCACACATACATACGGGGTTTTCAGAAGCACAGACAAATATCGATTCTATGACCCTCCCCACACTAGTACGTCGGGGGTTAATAATAAAATAATAAAATAAAATGAAAGAGTAATAATAAAAAAATAAAATAATAAAAATAATAATAATAATGAAAAAAAGTCATAAAAACCAAGTATAATTCAGGTAATTATTGTTAATTAGGAAACACATAATTATACCGACAAGGTGAACACAGGTAGTGAAGGTTGGGACCATAGGCACTACTGGGGCACACCTGGTACTGCATGTGGGTCAACAGTGCCACCTTAACGCTTACGACCTAACTAAGTCCTACGACCTATTTTACACATTTCAAGGGGGGGGGGGAGAGAGGGGCCGTTTTCCCCTGGCCCGGCACGACCACCAAATTATTAATAATAGTAACGGTCGTCCGGCGGTCGTTTGGCCTCACAGTCTAATAACTCAGGAAAAATACGACCCTTTTAACTCTGGGTGGACCGTGCCTCCCCCCCTCCCAGCCACACACACACACACACACACACACACACACACACACACACACACACACACACACACATCCTACAGGACACCCAGATATCCTCCTCACACCTCCTCCTCGTCCTGCTCCTCACACCTCCTCCAACTCATCCTCCACCTCGAACTCCTCCTCGACGCCGTAACAAGACATTAAGCGCCTCAAGGACCAAGTAAGACCCTCGTTACTCCCCGAAAGGCGTAACCTGACCCCGGCTCTAATTACTGTATTGGTTCATGCAGATGGTTGAGGACCTACCTGCTGGCAACCTTTAATTAGGGTTGAGTGGGGTCGTCTACCTGAGAGCTGCCAGGGTCGTCTACCTGAGAGCTGCCAGGGTCGTCTACCTGAGAGCTGCCAGGGTCGTCTACCTGAGAGCTGCCAGGGTCGTCTACCTGAGAGCTGCCAGGGTCGTCTACCTGAGAGCTGCCAGGGTCGTCTACCTGAGAGCTGCCAGGGTCGTCTACCTGAGAGCTGCCACTGTTCCTTAAGTTCATTATCTTGTAAAGGTAAAGTCTTAAATTCACTGCCGACGGGAACTTTATTAGAGAATTCCGTTTTCATTTATTTAAACCCAAGCTGATTTGTATGTAGAAATCAGGTTAGGTTAGGTTAGGTTAGGTTAATCTTCAGGTTAAATAAGCTGTGGCGGACAATGTTTAAGTGATTCAGAACAAGACATTAAGAGAGGAATGAAAAAGACTCACCTGGCAGCTATAATACTCACCTGACAGCTGTAAGATTCACCTGACAGCTGTAAGACTGACCTGACAGGTGTAAGACTGACCTGACAGGTGTAAGACTGACCTGACAGCTATAAGACTGACCTGACAGCTATAAGACTGACCTGACAGCTATAAGACTGACCTGACAGCTATAAGATTGACCTGACAGCTGTAAGACTGACCTGACAGCTATAAGACTGACCTGACAGCTATAAGACTGACCTGACAGCTGTAAGACTGACCTGACAGCTATAAGACTGACCTGACACAGTAAAACGTCACACAACAAAAGAGATGAAATGAGAGACCGCTCGCCCCAGCCAGCGCAACTCTCTCTCTCTCTCTCTCTCTCTCTCTCTAATACCTGTCAAAGTGTCACTGTATCTATCGTAATGATGTTTATACCTGAGTGTCTACGGAGTGCACACACACACACACACACACACACACTACCACCACTTTGCTGTCACTCGGAATCGAATATGACGATCATCCAGCTATGATACAATGATATGAGTTATTAAGGATGTCACCTAGGTTGGTGAGTTTTGAGATGACTAAAGAGGCCGATACTGGACCGGCAGGATCGTCCACAGTTGCTGCACGAGTTGAGGGCTACATCTAGTGCGGGAGGGGCGGCAGCAGCGTCTTTCCGGCGTTGGCGGTTGTCTGCTTCGGTATGCAGTCGGGTTAACTCGAAAGTATTGACACCTTCTTGTGTGGTGCTCCTCCAAGCGTTACGGTGTGGAGTAATCGACTCCCAGGTGAGGGGGCCGACGGCACTTTTTCAGGTTTGTCTTAAGACTATCCTTGTATCTTTTTAATTGCCCGCCAGCGATACGTTTGCCATTATTTAGGTGACTGTAAAGTAGTTGTTTAGGCAGTCTACTGTCGTCCAAGCGGGTAACATGGCCAGTCCAGCGTAGTTGTTCATGGATAATGGTAGCCTCGATGCTCCTACAGTTGGTGTCAGCGAGAATACTGGCAATTGTTCTGCTGTCTTCCCAGGGAGGTTTGTGTGAGCTGGGAGGAGAAAAACAAATTCTACCGTCAGAAAGTTACTGGTGAGGGAAGGAGTGAGAGCTGAGAGGTGAGGGGAGAGAGGAGAGGGAGAGAAGGAATGAGAGCTGTGAGGCGAGGGAAGAGAGAGAAGGGAAGGGGAGGAAAGGAATGAGAGCTGTGAGGTGAGGAAAGAGAGAAAAACTAAGAGGTGGGGGAAGAGAGAGGGAAGAAGGAAGGGATGGGAGGTAAGGGGTGAGTGCTGAGAGATGAGGGAAGGGTGAAAGCCGAGAAGTGAGGGAAAGAATGAGAACTGAGAGAGAGGTGAGGGAGAAAGGGGAGAGGGTTAGCCATGAGTGAAGGGACCTTGGCTGAGGCAAATAACATGTAAATACACTTAAATTATATCCAACATGCACAGGCGAGGGACGACCCCAAGTCTCTACCCTGTCCGAGTCGAATCTCTCCCTCAGTCTAAGTCTTGTCTCTCCCCAAGCTATATCCAATCTCTGCCTCGAGGGGGCGTGTCTCTACCTAGAGGGGGCGTGTCTTTACCTACAGTGGGCGTGTCTATAACGCTAGACATTGTGTATTGTTCAATGGCTCGTAAAACTATATTGCACCGACTGCTGTGTGTGTGTGTGTGTGTGTGTGTGTGTGTGTGTGTGTGTGTGTGTGTGTGTGTGTATGAACCTCAGGTAAGAGACTGCAAAGTTACCAACTCATCGTGGCAGTCAGTCGTGCGGGAGAGAGACAGAGAAACAATGTGTGTTGCGTCTGATTTTTTGTACACAATGTCTCTCGTGAGTGAAAAATGTCTCTCATCAAATTCCTTTATTTCAAACTCTTACTTTTATTTGTCTTATCTCTCTCCCCCGTTTCTTTATTGTACTCTTTCTCTTTTGTTATAATGATATCTCTCTCTCTCTCTCTTACTTCCTATCTGCACTATCTTCCTCTTCATCTGTAATTATCACATTATCTCTCTTGCTTACTATATTTTATCTCTATCTCTCCTTACACTACTGTCTCACTCCCCACCTCTCCCCCTCCCTCCTTTCTCGCTCCTCCCCACCTCTCCTGCCTCCTCCCACCTCTCCCCCTCCCTTCCCTCCTCCCCACCTCTCCTCCTCCCTCCCCACCTCTCCCTCTCCCTTCCCTCCCTAGCGACCACTAACTCTCTTCTCCCTGGGTCGATATCCAAGCTGAACTGTGTCCTGACCCCAACCTTCCCTGAGTCACTTCCTTGGAGGTCAACTGGGCGTAGAGAGGTCAGGTGTAGAGAGGTCAGGTGTAATGTCAAGTGTAGGGAGGTCAGGTGTAGAGAGGTCAGGTGTAGGGAGGTCAGGTGTAGAGAGGTCAGGTGTAGGGAGGTCAGGTGTAGGAGTGCCCAGTGTAGGGTCATGTGTAGAGGTCAGTATAGGGAGTGTTAGTGTAGAGAGGTCAGTGTAGGAGGTCAGGAAGGAAGTCAACAATGTGTAGGTTAGGTTATGTAGACGTCCTGTGTGTGTGTGTGTGTGTGTGTGTGTGTGTGTGTGTGTGTGTGTGTGTGTGTGTGTGTGTGTGTGTGTGTGTGTGTGTGTGCAATGGATTCATAGGACACGAGGGTCGTCCACGTCAAGATCACTAATGGGCTGAGAGGCCATTATAAGATAACAACCACCACCCCTACCATCAACACCATCAACACCAACACCATCACTACCAACACCTTTATCACCACCACCACCACCGCTATTACCACAACTACCACCATCACTACCACCGACATCTCCACGACTACTACCTGTACCTCCACTACCACGGCAACCACCATCCCTACCACCACAATCATTAATACCGCAATCAACTATTTCCCTATCTGCCTGTCAAGCACCATCTACCACCATCTAAAAGCCATATTCCTCACTACAACTTAACGTCAACACAACCTACCTACCGATTACTACTACTTTTTTTTTTTTTAAACGTGGCCTCCAGCCTCCCCCAATAGCCCCACCTTCGCCACCATTTAATTACCTTAATATTAAATCTCCTAATACATAAGTAGCTATCCTATCTGTGTTAAATTAGTTGAGCCGCAGATCTATGCGGCATTCAGTGACTGTAGCCTCATAGTCAATATCTGCGGCAGTTGTCGGAGTTGGGGCAGAAGCTCTCGTTCCCCTGAGGCAGAGCAAAGCCGACCGAAGGAGAGAGAAAGACAGTCGACATCTCATCCAGGCTGTAACATAACTTCTGGGCTGCTGCTTCTGTTCGGAGATCAACTCCGCGAGTCTGGCGTAGAAACATCTTGCACTTGGGCCCATCCCACCAGAGGTTGTGAACACTAGAGGAGTGAAGCTGCCTTGATCAACGTTTTGAATTCTCTCCCCATATGCCCTTCTCTTGTCGTTCTCGTTCCTCCTATGTGCAGCATCGAGAGCTAGGTTACGGTAACATGCGGCCATGGGATCAAAAATCCTGATGTCGAAGAAAGCTCGCTGTCCCAGCGTCCAGAATCCTCGATCACTGACGTCCACACGGGCATCGTTAGATGTGTTTGAAGTCCTGTGTTGGAAGATCTCACCATCCAATGGAAGGAGGGTCGGTTCTACCATGACATCCCGGCAGATTTCCTTCAACATATTTGCTGTGAGGTCCCTTACCTCGTCATGCCTCATGCATATGAAGCCCCCCTTCTTGCATACCATGGCGTGATCGCCATCATAGGAACAGCCACACACGGATTGGGAGGGCAAACCTTCTACTGGCCGACCGTACCTTAGAGCAATGGCATCTGTAAATTCTTGTTTATTAAGACTGAAACCATTTGCCCTTATCGGTATCGTAGTTAACCAGTTCGAGGCGCCCACCTCCTGCACTATTGCTACTTTTTTTTCAAATTTTCTGGTACCTGCAGCAAAAGTTGCTGCAACTTATCATTTTGGCAGTGCTGTCGATCTGTCGTAATGGACCTACGAATCTTATTTACTTCACTGGTATCCACTTCCCCTGTTGCATTCTGGGCTATTATGTGGTCCGTGAGGGCTGCCGTGAGCTTAAGTGAATTTTGATGTTCAGTGGCAGCAATCTCCTCTGGATTTGTTAGTCCCATCCCTCCCAGTATTGATGGAAGTGCAAGAAGTGCTCTTTCTGCTGGGGTTAAGTCAGGGTGTTTCACTAATTTGGGAATGAACTTGACGCTGATAGCTTCTTCCAGAGGGTGAAGGAGGGGTCCGATATCAGGGATAGTACGCATCATGTAGTTCCAACGATGCTTGACTCCATGGGTGAATGCAGCAAAGGCCGCATGTGGCTCTGTGTTAGCAGTCTCAGACAGAGCTTGGATTTCACTAACCCACTCATTCACCTTTCCCGCTACGTACTCGGTCTTGAAGTCCATAGTGCCAATTACTGCGCCTAGATGTCTTTGGCCGTCCTTAGTTATTTTGACCTCACTTCCGCCAAAAACCTCCAATGCCCGTTCATAATGTTCTGGCTTCACGATGAGGAAGGACTTGCTGGCGTTTGGGTGGTACCCTATTTGTGGACCTCGCGATGTTACCAAGTCCCACCACTTTTTGATGCCCTCCACTTTTCCTGCTCCTGTAAGGTCATCAGCATATGCCACTTGTTTGACCCCAGTTGTTTCAAATTTTATTTCTTGTTAGAGCACTGATAGGCCAATTGCATACATTGCCATTGCAACAGGGTCCTCCTGTGTTGTTCTCTCGGTTGACTGTAAGATGGTATCACCTCTTAGAGCCTTGTTGTTTACTATGTAGAGGTCTGATGGATTCCTATACGAATTTTCAACATACATCGCAAAGCTTGGACACTTGATCTTGATGTTGTGCAGTGCAGCCTTGCGGTTAAGTATGTTGAATGCGTTTGAAGCATCCACCAGGAGAACGGCCTCACAATCACGCTGCTCGAATATCAATCTCATGGCGTGAATGGCAGCCTCCCCACCAGCCTGGTGGTCAGCACACACTTGTAGGTTCCCTGCTGCTGCCCTGACATCATCCTTTACCACCTCCATTATGCATTTTCCGATGATCCGCCTCAGCACTTCCCCCACCCCTATAGGTCTACATCCTGGTTTCTTTTCCAGAGGAATAAGGCGGCAGGCCGTCAGGGCCTGGAGGTGATGGCAGCAAAAGGATGCAAGCTTTCTTGCAAGGGCGGCAATGGCAGTGCAGAGATCGCTTGCTACAGGGCCAAACTTGTTTGTACTGAGGATGACTCTCCAACCGTTTGCATCCAGACCTGAAGGGCCGGCTCCTCCTCGAGTATTCAGTGCCTTTTTCCACACCATCTCTCCTGTTATTTTTTCGAACAGGACAGCATTTGGTGGGATATAGTCACCCTGGAACTACTACTACTACTACTACTACTACTACTACTACTACTACTACTACTATTACTACTACCACCTACCTACCTACCTACCTACCTAATTCACCTTCTTAGGGACAAACACCTAACTAGTAACTGTCACAGGTAATTGGAAGACATTAACACCACACCTTACCTACCACCTCCCAACCTCAACTGGCCAATTAGTACCTGGACAAGTTATCGAAGTGTGGGAGGAATCGAACCCAGTCTCTAGCACAACCTTTCAGCCTTTGTTGTTGTTTTTGTCCGGGTCTTTCATAACTGGCTTGATGAAGTCTTCTCTATACCGGGATGGAAAATTAAAAGCCTTCACTGGTGGAGTATCTTTCTCTCTTTCCCCTCACTTGTATGTCTCCCAGAGTAGGTTTGTACCCCTCACTACCCCCTCCTATAGTGGCACCCTCCCCTCACTCCCCCTCCTATAGTGGCACCCTCCCCTCACTTCCCCCTCCTATAGTGGCACCCTCCCCTCACTACGCCCTCCTATAGTGGCACCCTCCCCTCACTCCCCCTCCTATAGTGGCACCCTCCCCTCACTTCCCCCTCCTATAGTGGCACCCTCCCCTCACTACGCCCTCCAGGGCATTCTCCCCACCCTCCTATAGTGGCACCTCCCCATTCCCCCTCCACAGTGGCACCTCCTCACCTCTAGTGGCACCTCCCCTCACTACGCCCCCATAGTGGCATTCTCCCCACCTCCCATATGGCATCCTCCTCACTCTTATAGTGGCACCCGCCCCTCACCTGTCCTATAGTGGCACCCACCCCTCACTCCCCTCCCCCTCACTGTAGTGCAAATGCATTACAGGAGGATTTAAATAAACTACAGGAGTGGTCAGAAAAATGGCAAATGAAATTCAACACCAGCAAGTGCAGCGTACTTAATATTGGAAGAACAAATACTGACATGTATACAGCCTTAACAACATCAACCTAGAGAAGTCGACTTGTGAAAGAGACTTAAGGGTATTTGTAAGCCCGGACCTACGGCCTAGAAAACAGTGCGGTAATGTTCGAAATACGGCAAACAGAGTATTAGGTTTTATATCTAGAAGTGTAAGTAATAAGAGTGCAGAGGTCTTATTGCAACAATATCTTGAGCTCGTCAGGCCGCACCTCGATTATGCTGTTCAGTTCTGGTGCTCTTATTATAGAATGAATATCAATTCACTTTAGTCGGTGCAGCGAAGAATGACGAAAATGATTCCGGGACTTAGAAACCTTCCATATCAAAATAGATTAAAGAAACTAAACTTGCATTCCCTAGAAAGACGAAGAGTGCAGGGAGATATGATAGAAGTATTTAAGTGGGTGAAAGGAATCAATAAAGGAGATATAGATAAAGTTCTTATAATATCCGAGCAGGATAGGACTCGGAGCAACGGATTTAAGTTGGATAAGTTTAGGTTTGGGAGGCAGATAGGAAGGAACTGGTTCACAAATAGGGTGGTGGACGAGTGGAACAAGCTTAGCAACTTTGTAGTAAGTGCTGGAACGCTGGAAAATTACTAAAGGAGGCTAGATAGATTCATGGATAATAGAGAGTGGTAGTAACTCTCGACAGGAGCTGCCATGTACAGGCGAACCGACCTATTGCAGACTCCTTGTGTTCTTTAGTGGCATCCTCCCATACTCCCCCTCCTATAGTGACACTCGCCCCTCCAAGAGTGGCACTACACAGTCCTCTATGCCATAAATGGTTGTTCACAAAGTCGGTCACTTTACAATGTAACTTAACACGGAGACCTTTACTTCACTTCCCTCTTAAGTGGCTCTGATTGACCACCTCCTGCCCATCCCCCAGAGTATTTTCGATCTCCCCCTTGAGTGCACCTTCGACCTCTTCCCCAGAGTGCATTTTCAATGATCTACTACTACTACTACTACTACTACTATTCCCAGGTACAATATATCTCTGCAAGACACACCAGCATCCCTGAGTGGTCTCCAGCCTCTGCGTGCTTCTACACAAGAGCAAGAGAGTGTGACCCTGTCCCCGCCCGGAGGCCTGTCGTCTGCAGGTATGGGTGTGGCGTGAGAAGGCGCCAGGACATCAGGCTTGCGTGTAACACTCCCATCCGCCCTATTCCGCCATCCGGGCTTTTGTTGTCCTCCTCCTCCTCCTCCTCCTCTGGGCTGGTGGGGAGGGGAGGGGTCAAGGGTCAGCGGGTGTGTTTTGTATATTCGAGGTCACAGTTGGTAATTCTTGTCCTTCTGTGTACCTTACATGTTACCCTTGAATAGTTTATGATAATGTTTTGTTTTTTTAATCTACTTAACTACTCCCTCCCTCCCAATAGCGACAAGAGCTCTCTCTCTCTCTCTCTCTCTCTCTCTCTCTCTTTACTTATCGCACAAATATCCAATAGTTTCTCTACATTTTCATTATTACTGTTGTCAAGTACACTGCCGGCGACCTTGCCATCTGCCACTGAGCCGCTGGCGACCCTGCCATCTGCCATTGTACCGCCGGCGACCCTGCGATCTGCCATTGCGCCGCCGGCGACCCTGCGATCTGCCATTGCGCCGCCGGCGACCCTGCCATCTGACATTGTGCCGCCGGCGACCCTGCCACCTGCCATTGTGCCGCCGGCGACCCTGCCACCTGCCATTACGCCGCCGGCGACCCTGCCACCTGCCATTGTGCCGCCGGCGACCCTGCCATCTGCCATTGTGCCGCCGGCGACCCTGCCACCTGCCATTGTGCCGCCGGCGACCCTGCCATCTGCCATTGTGCCGCCGGAGACCCTGCCATCTGCCATTGTGCCCGGGCGACCCTGCCACCTGCCATTGTGCCGCCGGCGACCCTGCCATCTGCCATTGTGCCGCCGGAACCCTGCATCTGCCATTGTGCCGCCGGCTATCCCACCCACCCAACGCCCCTGGACAACACAGCTGAAATCACTCACAATCGATCGGCTAAACCAAACACCGCCAGCTAGTGTTGGTGAGTGTTGGTGGTGTTGGTGGTGTTGGTGAAGTTGGTGAGTGCTGGTGAGGATTGGTGATGTTGGTGAGTGTTGGTGAGTGTTGGTGAAGTTGGTGAGCGTTGGTGAGTGTTGGTGAGATGTTGGTGGTTGGTGAGTGTTGGTGAGTGTTGGTGAGTGTAGGTGAGTGTTGGTGAGAAGTTGGTGTGTTGGTAGTGTTGGTGAGAGTTGGTAGTGTTGGTGAGGGTTGGTGAGAGATGGTGAGAGTTGGTGAGCGTTGGTGAGAGTTGGTGAGTGTTGGTGAATGTTGAGAGTGGTGAGAGATCATGAGTGTTGGTGAGAGATGGTGAGATGGTGAGTGTTGGTGAGTGTTGGTGAGGAGTGTTAGTGAGAGTTGGTGAGATTGGTGAGTGTTGGTGAGTGTTGGTGAGTGTTGGTGAGAGTTGGTGAAGTTGGTGAGAGATGATGAGTGTTGGTGAGTGTTGGTGAGTGTTGGTGAAGATGGTGAGAGATGGTGAGAGTTGGTAAGAGTTGGGGAGTGTTGGTGAGAGTTGTGAGAGATGATGAGAGATGGTGAGTTTGTGGTGAGTGTTGGTGAGAGTTGGTGAGAGATGGTGAGTGCTGGTGAGTGTTGGTGAGTGTTGGTGAGAGTTGGTGAGGATGGTGAGAGTTGGTGAGTGTTGGTGAGAGTGTGGTGAGTGCAGGAGAGTTGGTGAGTGTTGGTGAGTGCTGAGTGTTGGTGAGAGTTGGTGAGAGTTGGTGAGAGTTGGTGAGTGTTGGTGAGAGATGGTGAGAGTTGGTGAGGAGTTGGTGAGAGTTGGTGAGGAGTTGGTGAGAGATGGTGAGAGTTGGTGAGTGTTGGTGAGAGATGGTGAGAGTTGGAGAGATGGTGAGAGGCAGGAGTGCTGGTGAGTGCTGGTGAGAGTTGGTGAGAGTTGGTGAGTGGGGGAGAGTTGGTGAGAGTTGGTGAGAGTTGGTGAGTGTTGGTGAGAGTTGGTGAGGAGGAGAGTTGGTGAGTGCAGGAGTTGGGAGTGTTGGTGAGAGTTGGTGAGTGTTGGTGTAGAGTTGGTGAGGGGTGTTGGTGAGAGTTGGTGAGGGTGTGAGAGTGGTGAGATTTGGTGAGAGATGGTGAGAGCTGGTGAGTGTTGGTGAGTGTTGGTGAGCGTGGTGAGAGTTCGTGAGGAGGATGGTGAGTGTTGGTGAGAGTTGGTGAGGAGTGGAGAGTTGGTGAGTGTTGGTGA